CCTAATCACGGGATCTATGCAAAACATGATTTTCTAGAGTTGGATAAATTCGTACAATGAAAAGGAAATCGATTGCCGTCTGACATTGTTTTTAATAGCACAACTTGCCACTGCCAATGTGGAGGTAGATTGATCATGTCACACTCCTTTCAACTTTCCATACGGAAACAAGACTTTTGCAATGACTTTGACTCCTGTTAGAGATGGGAGATCTGTCTCCACTGAAACAAACGTGATCAAACAAAACAACGTGTCCACAGTTGCATATAAGTCCTTTCTATAGCGAGCGCACACATCCAGTAGACAGAGCCGAAAACGCACCGAGCCAGTCAAAATTGTCAAAATCTGCTAAGAACATAATGCAAAAGGTGCAAGAAATCCAAATCATAATCAGCCACACGCTGCCAAACAACTGCCTCACAAAAGAAACATCCATGCACAATGCACATCCTCACTCTGAGACACGATTGTTGGAACTAGAAGCTGACAATCTCATCACAAACAAAAAACGCCATCGCTCCTCCCACCGAAAGCTTCAAACACTCCGGCGCTTGTGCATGGTCGCCCGGTGCTGCATCTACGCTGAAGGAGAGATGAGGTTGGCCAGTGGTGCTTGGAGACCTCAAGAAAAACAAACTGGCGCGAGGATGGCACGATGGATTCGAAGCCATGGATCAACCCGCTTGCCCAAACAGTTCATCCATGGAATAGTTACTGTATGATGCTGTACATGCATACATTTACCCCAATTGATGACCCTAGTGTAGGTGGCTATTTCATGGATGGCTTGGCTTCTGAAAGCTTTGGACTGCTGGGTTGGGTTGTCCAATGGAAGTATGTGGTGCAGTCGTGACCCCCAAAACGATCGAAAACGGAAGGTCTTGGTACACTTCGAGAACCATTTCAAACCTTTATATTGTATATATATATGCCTAAAACCTCCTGCTTGTTACTTTTTCTGCCGCTGCTTTTTGGGACTAGCAAAACTGCCGCTAATATCCTTGTTCTCCATCAAACAACAGAAACTGCCGCTGGATTTTTTCAGCATTCAGGTTGCACGGTCTTGAAAGGATTCCCAAGACCTCTCATGTTAAAAGCCCCTACTCTTCCTGAAACGACGGATCATGCATTTGCACTTCACACTCCAGGCCAAAATGATACTTCTCTCCAGGTTTCTATAGCTGATTCTTCTGGAGGACCTTGCAATTCGACCTATATAGTCCTCACTCATGCTGCAGTCGAAACTTCCTGGGTTTAACGCCACCCTGCCAGATTCAACAGCATGGTGCAAATCCAACCTGATGTGCATCAGGGCGTGTAGCTTAGGGATCATCGCGAAGAGGTTGTATTGCTTGCCCCAACAGTAGTGTGCTAGTAGACAATATGCGTTGCCAAAGCTTTGGATGGCATCCCTCAAAAACTTGGCGCAACCCAACGGTAGCCACAAAGAATGGCCGTGAATCCCCTGACTAAAGGCTAACCCAGAGGTGCAGCCCTCTTCAATCCACCGAAACACCTGTTGGTCTACACGCGACCAATGTGGCTGGTGCATCTCCATTCTCACAAAAAATCGCAACCATTTGGTCAAGACAATGGTGTCAGATCCTTTGCATCCCAACCATGCGAAGGCTCCTTTGGCAGCATGCATGTTTGCAAGCGTGAATCCACGAATACCATTCACTCGCTGCTTTGTTGTCTCAAGGTAGAGGCGGACATTTCCCCAGGCACGCTCAAGACAAACATGCAAAGCATCACTTTCTCCTGGAATAGAGAAGCCTTGAGTGTCTGCAAAAATCTAAAAGGGACACAGTGGAAGGGGTTAGTACAAAGCAAAACAAAATATAATAAAATATGTTCGTGGTGGAGCAAGGGTCAGCCCATGTTGCATAGGAGGATAATTGCTGAACCTGCAAAATTTCTACCCACACCAAGCCTATAGATGTGAAAGGCGTCCTTCCGAAGGAACATAGCAGGTCGCGCTGCATCAAACTCAATCCGGCTCCAGGGTGGGGATACTGCCCAAGGCACAGTGCGGTGTAGCGTTTGAATCCATCTTGCAGACGGGTTCACATCTTCAAACGCCACTTGCGGCAAGCCAGCGTCGCACTCATGACATACAGCTCTTTCATTCACGTGTCCACAATTAAGGTACGACCGGGTCAGTGCCCCAGCTTTCTTCATCCACTCAAGATCCAGTTTGAAACCCAACACCACAGGATAGAACCTCCAGAGGTTGCTTTTTTTGTGTCCTGCCACCATCGCCGTGACAAAGAACTGGAAAACAATGTTTCCGTCGCTCTGCGCTGCAAGTGAAGATATGGTGACTTGGATGCTCTAACCGGTACGCATTCCAAAACTGAGATAAGACATCCGGTGCTTCACTTTCGTTGCAGCCACCAAGAAACAGCCAGGGTTCTTGCAACATGAGAGTCTTGAACACATCAGCTGGCTTCACAAAAGGGATGGAAGCAGTTGCAGCCCCCTCTACATGAGTATGCGTAGACATTGGAATCTTCAAAGACATGGAATGTCTCGAAACCAAGCGCCTGAACTGTCTTGTTGCATTCTTGGGATTCATCCCAGACGATCTGATGACGCTTTGGGCAAACGCATCTCCCTGCTCTTCTGCAAGAGCTTTCCTTTTTTCAGGAAGGATCTTCGCTGGAGCCTCGGGAAGTTGACAAAGCACAGATATCAACGCCCCTTGATTATGGTATTTGGGTAAACAAATCAAATTACAAACCTTATCTTCCGAATATCCCCGCCTATCCTTTTTGCAAGGAAATAGTATACAAAACCTATTTTCTAGTAGGCACCCCTCAACTAAACCAGGTGGCCCCATCAGCCACTGTTTCAATGACCTGTCGCAAGATGGGGCCAGGTTCATCAGCTGAAGATGCACCTGGCCGGAACAAATTAAACTAGTATTATGTTGCGCTGGTGCCTGAAAGGGCAAGTCCACAGTTGGTTGGAAGAGGCCGAGACCGCCTTTTTCCCATGTAGTGCCACAAGACTATTGCACCACTATTGAATTTGGTATGGAAATCCAGCGAATGAGCCGGCCCCTAAAAAGGCTCAGGCTTAAATTTGACCCACAGTGACTTTGCATGGGCGGGTTTCTAAGTCTAAGCAAACAAGAAAGACAACAGACAGCAAAATCGCAGAAAGCAACAGTTGATCCAAACACGACTCACGAGCGTTTAAAGTCAAATAGTTGAAATAATGACAACGCCATCACGCACGTCTTTCATTCCTCAGCTTTCACCTTTTTAGGTGCTTTAGGTGCTTTTACCTTGTTCTTTTGCTTCAAGAAGGCTAGATAAGGCCTCAGTCTGAAAACATCTGAAACCCATATCCAAAGTATCAGTAGCTGCACGCAACAAGTCACAAACTACAAGCAAGCATTCATCTTGCATTGTAGGAGTATGTCCAAAACATGCCATATAGTAGGTTTAGTAGTAGTAGGTTTGCAGTACTGCTGCTCACACCGACTGAGCAACAAAAATGAAAGCCAGAACTCTGGAACCAGTGGTGATTCCTTTGCCACGCTGCTGGGCACGACTGTGTAGGTTGAGCGCTTCACGGCACCTGCGCCACAAGCACACCCAAATCCCTTTGAAACATGGGGTCTGTGAACACAAAACAGCTATTGGTGAACCACTTGTGCAAAATTCAGTTTTGGGTGACGGAGTTAGACTACTTTTTGAGATGGCTTGGCTTCTCAAAAGAAACTCTCCCTGGATATTGAGAATAAAGTTGGTAGGAGGGTGACTTCTGAAAGGAGCAGGCAAAAGACCAGCTCTTACATTGGATATTGAGAATAAAGTTGGTAGGAGGGTGACTTCTGAAAGGAGCAGGCAAAAGATCAGCTCTTACATGCACTTGGTGTTCTAGGTGGTGGAATATAATGAACCATTTTCTTTGAAGGCAGCATTCAAGGATTTAAGTTCGGCCAAGGCACGCGTTCTTTGCTGTTTTGAACTGAGCTCGAAGTTGGTCCTGATGCCTAAGCCCCGCACATGCAATGTGTCGGTTTACACGGGTTCCTTTTCCGACATGACATGCTTACAAAGAAAAGAAGACTAGCTGCTGGTGCGAAAAGCCGTCAGCAAGTCCACTGGAATGAATCTCGGAAATCTCATCACAAGATTTCTCCAGCAATGTCGAAAAGCTCACCGCCTTTGCGATCAGCCTTGGCTTGCGCGAGGCCATAGGAGCTAGGGAGCCGGGGCTGAGTAAAAGGGCCTGTTCAACAGGTGCCTTTGTTGAACCTGTTTGAAGCTACTATACTTGCTAAAACAGCAATCAAAAAAGGTTAACCGGCTGGGTCACGGGTTCATGGCAGCATTCGACTTGTCCAGGGAAGTGGTAAGATCATTCATTTTGATGGACCACTTTGAGAGGCATGCCAACACCTTGGTCACAAAAGAACTTGGAAGGCCATCCGAATCCATTTCAGGGAAGGAGATTTGCTTCAGGGCTTTGGTCTCAGATTCCATACTCTGATGTTCAGCAGTGCGTCGATGATCATCTAGCAGGGGGCATCCGAGCATACCGGAACCACAGGGAAGAGAAACCAAGCACAGTATGCAAAAGAGAGGAACTCTTTAGAAGCTTTAGAAAAAACAGCTGACATGCAATGTGAAATGAGATTGATGCAAACAGACCTTCATCTTCCAAAGGTTCTTCAAATTCAAAGTTCTCAAATTCCATGTCACAGTTGAACTCATCCTCGTCCACGTCCGAGGATTCTTTTTCCAAGGTGTCACGCTTCCTCTTCCTTCACTGGGCAACCAACAGAGTTGTGCAGAGTTTACTTATATAACCACACCTCACTGGAAAGAGTTGTGTACTCACAGCTGGTGAAATCAAGTTGAAGCAAGGAAATAAGCTTTTTCTTGTCTGTTATACAGCGCCACACCATGTTTGGACCAAGGGTCAGCATCCGGCCCTGCTCCTTCTTGAGTACCCAGTAGTTCCACACATTGCGCTCGTATAAGTCACGCCTTGGAGGCGTCAAGAAGCTGCATGGAGAAGAAGAAGTCATTCAAGCTGCATTGAGAGGCCGCCAAAACAAGGAGATACTTGGTGGAGGGGGATGGCAGGTACCGCCTCAACAAAAACTGCTCTACTTTGATGGCCATATTGAATTTACCTGACAACTCCTCGTTTAGCCTTTGAAGCCCCGAACATCCGAGTTTCTGTTTCCAGCCCTTGTTGCGCATAGCCTCAGCCTTGATCGCCTTGATCCGGTGCCTAGAGATGTTGCAGAGGCAGAGCATGATCAATGAATGGTTATGGGCAGCCCTTGTAGAAACAGTCACACATACTCTGACTCTATCATATGCCATGGCACTCCGGAAAACCTTCATGCTTCATGTCTTGCTCAGACATAAAGGAACCATCTCCCCACAGGTCCGTCTCACGAATGCGGGTCACAATTTTTTTCATCGCCTTCTTGACAAACAATTCCTGCACAACCCCGACTCCAAAAAGATGAATTCCTTTGATCAGACACATATGATTTATGAATGGGTTTGGTAGCAGTCCTTGTCTAGGCCAGCGGACTTGAAGTCCTCAACAATCATATCCTGATTCCCATCCTTCCACGCCTTGATAATCTCTTCGGGGACTAAGTAGGTTCCATCCGCACGGGGTTTCATCATTCGCTCAACACGTTTCCGAAGCGCTGCCTTCGAGATCGTGCTTACCACCTCCTGAACAATGGCAGGTGATGGAGTCAATGACTGGTGCACCGCGGAGGCTGGGGTCTCAAATGGAATCCGACGCGGCGACGGTGGGGCAGGGGTGCAATCTTGTTCATGAGGATCTGGTTCTCCATCCTTAAAAGAAATGGTTTGAAATCAGTGGATGGCCAGTCACACATATACCACAAAGACAAGTTCCAGGTTGGATTGGAAACAAGGTGCTCCCAAGGTGTTGACACCATTCCCAAAGAAATGCAACATGTTGGCCTGAGGCAACAACAGAAGGAACACACCGCTAATATAATATATATTGTACGATATATATGATTGCGAACAAAACACCTCCAAATTCATATCATCCATATCATCCACATCTGACAGAACTGGTGCTCGAATCACGGCCCTTGCTGGAGTGGCCACCGGGGTAGGAACATTCTGCTGGGCATTCTTGTTCTTCATCTCCTGAGCGCAAGGGGCCCAACCCTCTACCAAGAAAGGCCAAGAGGCTAGAAGAATGCCAAGAGTAAAGGGCACTCCAGAATATGACCGTTCAGGGTCTTTTTGGTGGTAATGGTTCTCAGAAACCTTGGGTGTATTCCTTCAAATCAATATATGGCAGGGCACCCACGAAGAAGGAACCACTGTACATGGCACTTACCATTCCAAGGGCCCAACCCGCAACCCTCTACCATGGAGGGCCAAGAGGCACTAAACAGAGTTGTTTTTGAAGCGTCCTTTTCCTATTGTTGTGGAGAGTATTTAGGCCAAGAAAAGGTCACTCCAGTTGGCTTGTGTTGGTATGAGCTTTGAACCATGCCCTCTATCCATGAGCCGGCCTCCAAATGATGAAGCTCAGCAAGAAGCTCCGCTTCATTCCAGTTATCATATGTGTGGTCACGCACCACGCGTTCCCCCTCCATCAGAGTCTCCGAGCTGAAGCACCGAGAAGGGAGGGAAATTTGAAGCATAACTGATCCCTGACCTACTCCCAAATGGCTAGGACGGCTGAAGACGCCGCTGGGACGGCAAAAGACGCCGCTAGGATGGCAAAAGACGCCGCTGAGTTTTTTACAAAACTGGTCATTAGTCAACTCATGGATTCCATGAGCTGCAACATGGCTCATGAGTTTATCATTTGGGGCTCACCTCGTGAAATATAGTTCATGAATTCTATGAGCTCATGAATTCATGAGCTCCCTATATATAGCTCATGACTTGTATGAGCTAGTGAGTTCATGAGCTCATGACTTTCATGAGCTGCTGATACCTATGAGCTCATGCTTATAGCTCATGAGTTCCATGAGCTCATGAATTCTACAATGTTGTGCGTCTTTTTGTTCCGCTCCCCACTTATGTTGTTTGGCTCCGGAGTTCACAAGTCAGAAGGCAAAGCAGCCCTCCACTCTGGACTTGGAATTCGGAGTTTCTTTGACCCCCTACAATAAATTAACACATCTCTGATGTCAGAGAAGTCATCCCAAAAATCTTCCCCGTATTGAGCTTCAGTGAAAAGCTGCAGCACGCTCTTGCTCGATACCTGAGTGGGGCAGAGGTCCCATCAAAATCACAAATCCACAAGTCTTTATAAAGCAAATGAAACCTGGGAAGCTAGAAGCTAATTGAGATGTGGTGCCGGAGGCAAAGACTCATGAGGTTTGTCTTCATACATACCAGGAAATAGGCTCACGAGGTTGCGGGCAAAGCGGAAAGTATAGCGCCTTATAAGCTAACAACAGGTATAGAAAAATAAACAATTCAAATTTCACTCCATCCTATTTTTCAGGGGGCCACTATGTGCAGTTAAATGATTGTGTGCCTTTCAGGTCACTGGTTCCCTGCCACTTCTTTTTCCCAGATCCATCAACCCAGGTCTTAGTGGTTTGAACCTCACTTGGACGTTCATCCTTTGTGAGCGTTCCCAGGTCCGAAGCAGCAATCCTCCGGCTGGTGCTCCACATCCAGGTACGCTTCCAAGTTAACGCCAAGTGTTTCTTCATCCAAAAGCTCACTTTCCAAGTCTTAGATGAATGCAGGGTATACAGTACTATACATGCAGTGGTGTCTACTGCTCATAGTTCGCAAGCTAAGCTACTGGGATGTTGTGCAACTGCAATAGGTTGACAAACCAGACATATCGGTCATGTAAAGATATCAAGCTGTTGCCTGGGTTCTCAAGCAGTATGGTGCCTCCTGCGCATACCGTCAATACCATCAATATCACGGTCCTAGGCAAGATGGGCCATGTTTGAACTATTTTACCAGTGCAACTCGAAACAGTGAAACAGATTCAATCTTTAAAAGCAAGCTTCCGACTCATGAGTTTGTTGGACTTTCTCACCGACGGCACATTGTTGTTTCCAAGTGGGACAAGTAGGTCTCGAGAACCAGTTCCCCGATTTACTGGGACAAAGCTTCCACAACATGTCGCGAATAAGCTGATCAGTTCATTGAACCGCCCCCTCAAAATAAGTTTCACAGCTAGGACCAAACCTGCCGAGCTGTTAAGGTCCATCGAACTCCGCTTTGCACGCCATTGTGATTTCTGGTCAAACTCAATCTCATAGGGCACTGATTTGAAGCCTAGGTATTCACTTAGTTGTGCTACTCTTGAGCAGCCCGCAAAATACTCTATGACCTGAATGTCCTGTACAGCCCAAGATGGGTCCTCCATCCAGGAGATCAGGAGGACAAGCAAAATCAGGACCTTGGGCAGCAGTGTGGAAATTATGTATTCGAGATACAGGGCAAATGCAAAAAAGAAAAGAATCGTGGGTGACCTTCTTTGATCCAAAGGGCTTTTGGAGTTCCAAGGGCAAACATCCTTTTGAAGAACAGATCCAGCTCATCGGGTTTCATCGCACCAAACCCCAGGAGAACTGTCACAGTGATAACTGCGATTTGGTCCACGCACTGCGGATGCAGTCATTGGTTGGTTAGTCTTTGCAAGGCTTGAGCATGCTACATCAATGAATCTCAAGCTGCCGTGGAATGAGTCAATTTAAGACTAGCCAGATAAACCTGAATCTCTGTAGTCAGCACCAACTCCAAACTTGGCTAGCCCGATCTGGCCACGACGGAGTTGGTACATGACCTGGCCGGATGCTGCGATGATTTGTTTGCACAACACACTAATCGATTTATCTTGTGCAGCGCGTACCTTTTGAACTTTCCCAGGCTGATAGCCGGTCTATTGCGCACAAGTGTTCTGCACTTGTTCCATGAATGTGATAGAACACACTCTACCCCTAAAGATTGAACCAGCATGGCATCACATACTGGCAGACACTCCCGTATACACAGCTTGCGTATATACCTTGACTCTTTAAAGTTTAAACATTTACTATATATATAGTTAGCATGGCTCAAGAGACTTGCGAAGCTGTGGTCCAAAAATCCAAAAAGCAACGTCACCTAGACAGCTCATAGCTTCCCGCTGTCCTTAGCCCAAGTCATGAACCCACTCACGGATGCTCCGGCCACGTCCAAGAACTGAGCTTCATCAGAAAGAGGGCCCTTAGCTGCAAAGGCCGTCATACAATGGCTCCACCATGGCTCCTGAGAAGGTACGAGACAGATTGAATTATTGACCCTCATCTCATCTCTATTGGATTGGGCTTGGGGGCTTGAAGAACCCGTTGCAAAAAGAAAGCGAGCCAGCAGTCCTCCCAGCTGTACAGAGTCATCGCACCAGCATCAAGAAGCTGCGGCGCAATAGTGTGCTTGAAAACATCCTTGATGGCTTGCCAGCGGAACTTGGCTGGGGATGTTGTCGGGCATGCGCGGCGGGCAAAGGACTTGGCTTCTCCAGTCCGCTGGCGCTTGGGCTTCGGCACCTCGACCTCCTCCTCCTCCTTTGCATCTTTTGATGCACTGGGCTTCGAGCTACTGCTCTTCGCCTTGGCCTTGGCAGCTGCCTTCTGAACTGCCTTCGTTTTGGGACTTGCCTTGGGCTTGGGAGCCTTCTCCTTGGGAGCTGTCTTGGCTTTGGCCGCTGGCCGGGTCTCTTCAACCTCCATGGCCGGATCTTCACCCTCAAGTTCTTCGGGCTCATCCAAAGCAGAGCCAGCAGGAGCTGCCCGGCCGCCTCCTCCACCTTTCCCACGGCCTTTCCCACGCCCTTTCCCACGGCCTTTCCCCTTTCCCTTTCCTTTTCGACTTTTCCGCCCCTTCCCTGCTGGTTTCCTGCCCCTGGCTTTTCTGTTGCCCTTTTCAAGGCGGCCTTCCTTTTCTTCCCGTTCCTCCTCCTCCCCCAAACCAGCAGTGGCATTCTTTTGCCGGAATTGGGAAATCCTGGAAAGGAGCGGGATCTTTGGAGACAGGCCTTGCTGTTCGAGGTCAGCACGAAGCAAGACAATGGAATCTTGAAGAGACAGGCCTTGCTGGAGCGTTGCCTCTAGACTCCCCAAGATCTCCTCAGATTTATGGCTGCTGTCACCAGGCTGGGGCTTCGTGGCCGAGACAAATTTCACATCATCATCATCCTCCTCCTCCTTTTTGATTCCCTCAGGAGTTGCCATCAGCTTCTTCACTTCCACACCTTTCTCCCCAGTAGTGGGGCATGGTGTTGCAGCTCTTTCAGCTGCCTTTGCCTCCTTCTCGGGGGGTGTGCCGTTCTCATTTGGAGTGGGGCATGGTGTTGCAGCTCTTTCAGCTGCCTCTGCCTCCTTCTCGGGGGGTGCGGCGTTCTCCTGTGGAGTGGGGCATGGTGTTGCAGCTCTTTCAGCTGCCTCCGCCTCCTTCTCGGGGGGTGCACCTTTCTCCTCTGGAGTGGGGCTCGGTGTTGCACCTGCCTCGGCTGCTGGATGCTCCGGAGGACCTTCCTTGAGAGAAGGCTTTGGCATGCTTTCACTGGCACCAGGTGCTTCAGTGGCTTCTTCCACAGCCACCTCCTGGTGACTGCTGTGTTGTGGGCAAGCTTGTGGCAAGGGTGTCGTTTCCGGAATTTCATTCTCCAA